TTGAGCAAGCAATGCTTCCCAGTGAATTTTAGGCTGGAATTGCTATTTTCAACAGCCATTGCTTTTTTTTCTTTTAGTTTTATTTGTTTAAAAGGAAGACAGTGATTGCATTGGCAAATTCCCTATAGAAACAAAGAGTGGAACAAAAGAATAATAAAGGCACCTCAACTTTTCCTCGTTTATGTAGGACAGTCTTATAATATGCATCCAGACATCCTCCAATCACACAAGCTGAAAATTGTTCCACTTTACTGCAGATCTGTAACCATATGGGAACCAATCCTGTCTGTGTTCTGTGCACATCCAAAATTCCTGCTGAATGACCTGCCCTGGGATCGAGTTACCAGTGACCCAGGGCTGGGGCAGCAAGGAGTCGGGGGCAGCCCAGGGCTGGGGTGGGGGGCAGCCAAAATATTTTTTGCTTGGGGCGGCAAAAAACCTAGAGCTGGCCCTGGCTGGAGTCCCAAGCTGGCAGGGAAAGCAGGGGCAGAAGTAGTCTTGGCACATCAGCTGGCAGTTCCCAAGGGGGTTTCTGTGATCCAACCAATCACAGGCACTGTCTTTTTAAATTTCTTATTCTTTTACTACAGCTCTTATCTGCTATTTTGTTACCAAAAAACAAATCTAGAATCTCTTCCCATTCTCCTGGGTTTAAAGATATTGAACTTTATAAAGCATTGAGGTACCTTAAGGGTTAAAGGCTAAATACGAAAGCCAAACAACACTAGTTACCTGTGTCTGGCAAACAGTGTCTGTCAGTTTTGCAACTTTGAATGAAAGATTCAAATGGATTTTTAGTGGTGTTATTTCAAAACAAAACAAAACATAAACCACTTTATCTTAAACCTACAAAACAGAGTTTTACAAGCCAGGAGTGCTGGTTTAGGTCCTAAACACTCCACATACACCTCTACCCCGGTATAACGCGGCCTGATATAACATGAATTCGGATATAACATGGTAAAGCAGCACTCCGGGGGGGGAGGAGGGGGCAGGGCTGCGCACACCAGCAGATCAAAGCAAGTTCAATATAACACGGTTTCACCTATAACACGGTAAGATTTTTGGCTCCCAAGGACAGCGTTATATTCGGGTAGAGGTGTATTTACACAATATATTTATATACATACACACAGATACATACATATTTTTTTGCTTAACATCCCTTACACTGATTTAATTTTTATACTGCTGTACCTAGATTACATTTGTATACATTTGGGGGCAGTTAAGTTCTAATAGAAACCCCTTATGTTCTTTTAGCGAATTTGACTAATTGTACAGTCAAATGATTTAAATCAGATTGTCTCTTTGCCTGGCTTATTTACAGATATTCCTTTGGAAAATGGCCCATTTTCCCTTCAGAATGGCTGCAAAGAAACCAAGAATTCTCTTCGTATAACACTTTTCCTTTTTTAACATTTTTACATTCCACTGCTTAATTCCCTCCAGCTTCTGCGGAGTTAACTTCGCACTCTCTTTCCTTAAATCACTTGCTTATCTCCCAAAATGACACTTCCATCAGCCCAGATATCACCATTCCAAGTATTGTCCCAGGGATCTGAAATCCCCATGCCTGTGCTTACTTACTGCTTTCCTTACTCCTGCCAGTATGCCCCTCAGGGCTCCCAACCTGTATTCCAATCTCTTTATCTGTTGCCTGCCTACTTGTCTGGGCCTGATCCTGATTTCCTCACTGAACCGTCCCTTCCCATGGGCACAGGCTTTGTCCCACTAACCATTTAGCAAGGAGGGTGGGCTCGTCAACTAGCCCCCAACGCTCCAGGTCTCTTTTCTTCTTTCCCTTTCTCTCTTGTTGCTCTGGGGTGATCATTCTGCCAGATAGATAGTGACCCTCTCTGACTGAAGGCACAGGTACTCTGCTATTATTTACTGTGTTAGATTCTATCAGTTCAGTTCAAAAGACCTTAGGCTGCCCAAGCATTCTCCACCAAATTTGTTACCCGGACAAAATTCTCTGTTATTCACACTCTCAAGGGCACTCAACTTTACCCAGTTCTTAAGGCTCAAGGCATAACCCTCTTAATTTAGGCACCCCACCCTTTCCCAGTTCCTAGGGCTCCAGACAAAAGGCACCTAACTTTAACCCTCCGTGGGCTCCGGGCTCTACTCTTCTGTGGCCTCCAGGCAAACACCCTTTCCCTGTGGACTCAGGGCTTAATCTTTTGTGGGTTTACGGGGTCTTTTACCAGTGAAAGAGCCTTACACAATAATATACTACATAACCTCTATTTATTAACAATCACCAAAAACAGACTGCACACACTACACATACAGTGCTTACCACTCCCAATAAGACACATGAACTTTTCTTGATGTCCAGTCAGGATCAGGTCCATCTGGCAGACTCCAGTTTCTGCACGGTGTCATTGGCAGAGTGTTGAGGTCCGGCAGCTCTGATCTTTGGGGCTGTGTCCTGGAGTTGGTGCCCAAAGAATGTCCTTTTGGACCCCAGTTGATATAGTGAAACTTGAGTCCTGCTTAGCTGTACCTTAACCAATTATTTTACTAAAATTTTACTAACCAATCCTAACAAAATTCTCTAATCAATCCTACCCCACCACCTTAATTAATTTACACTTAGCAAAATTTAATATGTAACAGACAGAAACAATCAAAGAACCAGACAGAGACCATACAGACAAACAATAGGGAAGTGGGAACCATAAAGATAAAACAATAAAGAAATGAGGATTTCACAACCACAACTCTTGATAAGTGATTTCTTGCCAGACAGATGCTGTCAAACTACATTTTCTTTAGCCATCTTAAGCTCTGGTTCTTTATCTGGTGATAGTGGTGCTACTGGGACAGGATCTCCTTCTTCACAGCCTGATATTACAGTGGTTTCATGTCATTTAGATGGAATGTGAGGATGTGACTTCCTGCTTCTTAGCTAATGGCTGCTGCTTGGCTGCTCTTTTAATCTGGCTGCAGACGAAGGCTTTATCCGTACACATTGACTCCAGGCAACCAGTGCCCCAGAGAGATGGGGGCTTCCCCACATCTCAGCAGGGAAGCTGAGCAAAAAGCCCAGCTAGAGAACAAAGGACGGGGAGGTGCTGGCTCCTGGAGAAAGCTGGGAGCTCTCTCTTCTGGGACCTGAGTAAGGAAATCACACAGAAACAGATAGAGCCTGAACATGGGCTTCACTACAGTGCACAGACGCCAAATTTCAGCCTTTCCTGCGGGGGGGGGGGAGGATTGCTCCACCAACGCTGGCCCCCGCGGCCCTGCCCCCACTCCACCTCCTCCCCCAAGGCTCCGCCCTGCCTCTTCCCGGTTCTGTTCTCAACTCCCCCCCATAAGTGTGCCCTACCCTTGCTCTTTCCGCCCCCTACTCCACCCTCTCCCCCCAGCACCTCCCACTTCTGTCAAACAGCGGGTTGGTGGCAGGCAGGAGGAGGGGGAGGAGTTGATTGGTGGGGCCTGCCGAACAGCTGATTGGCGGGTGGCTGGTGGGTGCCGAGCACCCACTATTCTTTTCCATGGAGTTGGCACCTATGCTACAGTGTGGCTGGGCTCTGGGCTTCTTGTCTCTGTGCTGACCTACGGCCTCCTCCTGCTGTGTTCCAGCTGACTGATAAACCCTGTTTTGGAAACGCTGTGTGAGTGTGTGACAAAGTGGGAATTTCCCCTTGTTATGTTGTATGTGAGCTTATGTGAGTCATACTGTTTTGCATGAATGCGTTGTGTGCCTCAGTTTCCCTGTGTATTGCACCAATGCTTGGGTGATGGGAATAAGGGTGTGTGACTTTTGCTGAGACCCTCGGGGGCAGGTGAGGCTGCTCCAGCTGCCTGCATGTATACTATGGCCAGTGCCCTTCGTAACTGAGCCCCAGGAGAGGGATGCAACCAGGTGACAGGGAAGCGAGACAAAAGACCAGAAAGAGGAGCAATGGGTGAGTCGGGGATCGGGTCGCTGGAAGCTGGGCAGCCTGCGTTTTGGGACTTGGAGAGGGGAGAGTCCAGGGCGTCTGGTCTGGAGTCAGCCCAAGATGGACTTGGCTGAAAGTCACTGATTTCTGTGCTGATAAGTTCTGTTCTACGCTGTGTTCCTGTCGACTAATAAACCTTCCATTTTATGCGGGCTGAGAGTCACTGCTGACTGCAGAGTTGGGGTGCAGGCCCCTCTGGTTTCCCCAGGAGCCCTGCCTGGGCGGACTCGCTGTGGGGAGTGCACGGTGTGGAAGGGGATGCTGAATGCTCCGAGGTCAGACCCAGGAAGGTCAAAGCTGTGTAAGCTTCTTGCCCTGGAGACAGTCTGCTCAGAGAGAGGAGGCTCCTCCAGAGTCCTGACTTGCTTCATACGGAGCAGTTCTAGAGCATCGGCCCAACGACTCCATGACAGAGCGTCACTGGGAATGATGGGTGAGGTGCCTCAGTCCCTGCAGAGTAGACAAGTCTCTCCCAGGAGTCTGTCTCAGTTGGACTCGCTGAGCAGAGCTCACACATGAAGCAGGAGCTGGAACCCAGAGGATCAGTGTCAGGAGACAGTGAGGCTGTGTGGGTGACCCTGAAAGACACATGAAAGTCTTTGGGGATCTGGCACATCCTCCAGGAGACTGTTCCAAAGCTGGGGGCGTAGCGCAAAAGTTTCTGGGGGCCCGAGGCAAAATCTGAAACTGAGCCCCTGCTTCCTTCCAAAAAAATTGAAAACTTTGAGGGGAGACCTCAGGGGTGAGGGACACTCAGGATATTCTGTGCCCAGGGCCCTGAACCTTCTTAATCTGGCCCTGGGCTAGATTGGACCTCGTGGCCTTTCCCAGCTCTGTGCTTTCCCCCCAGTATGTGTGACAAGGAATGACATGAACACCAGGGGTGCGGAAGGTCACATGCTCCTTTATGTCAGAATCATCATGGTTTAGCCGCAGCGAGCACACCCTGGGGCGGGGTCAGCCTCTCTGAAATGAGACAGCAGGAGTTGGAGCTCCATGGCTTTGGGCTGGGGCTGCACAATGGCCGAATGCAGCCTGTGCTCATACGATCAGCGTGTCTCTCAGTCTGGGCTTCACAGCCACAACACCTTTTATTTCATACTGCAAGTTCCTCCAGCCCAGGGCGCTGGGGGGCAGCTGCAGAGACTGATATGCAGCTCTCATTTTGCCTGGTGACAGACCATACCCCCACATGTACACATCAGTCATTTCACCTGTAAAAGAATTATATAAATCAAACCCGCCCCTGAAGGAGTCCTGCTCCCGTCCCAGGATGATCACAGCCTCGACACTGATGGAGTAGCCTTTCCGCAACCCCTTCCTGGGTAAGGGTTTCCCGTTCACCCAGAACTCGGCTATGCCCGTGGCAGATTTCCAGCCGGCACAGACGAGCTCCCAGTCCATACGGGTCTCTGGGACTCTGAAGGTCACAAATTCCCTCCCCCACGTATAGTCTGTACTCCCCAGGCTTGGGTTTGAAGAGCAAAATCTCGTTGTCCTGGGCTTTGGTAGCATAGGAGAAGAGGCCGTATGGCCGAGTCAGATCAGTGAAGGATCTCAGTCACACAGCGAAGTTCTGCAGCAGCTGCTCCGGCTCCAGCTTCATGACCACATGGGCGTCGCTAGGGTCCTTCCGGAAGACAAACACCCTTTGATACAGGTCTTGGAGAGACGAGAGACGTGTTGGGTGTCTGTACTGGTGTGACAGTATCACTCCTCAGGACCCTCGCTACAGACTCTGCTGTTCATTCCAGTGCTTGCGCCGCTCTGATGCTTGCCCGGGGCTCCTCAGTCTTGGCCCTCAGCACCACCTGCTCTTCCACTTCCTCACCCCCCCACCCAGTAACCCTCACCAGCTGGGTGTGGGAGCAGAAGCCTGAGAGAGGTGGGCTTATAAGGTTACTTAACCCTGCTGAGCCACATTAACCCTTTGTGGACTAGTGTGGGGTGAACATCCCCTCACTTTGGTCCATGGCCATGCTCAATGGGGTTTAACTTGGGAGACCTGCTCAGTGGCTCTAAGTTGTGTGTGAAACCCTTCGGATTAAGGGTGGAAAGTGGTGCCCCCATATCCGCTTGTGAGCCTGCTTGTCACAACCGTGTCTCAGAAGATGCACAGTTTGATCCATGGGGCGATTAGCCACGGGAACAGTTTACTAAGGAGTGCAGTAAATTCTCTAACCCCGGGAATCTTTACATCAAGATCAGGGTAAAATTTTCAAAAGCACCTAAGTCTCATTTTCAGATGTGTCACTGAGGCACAGACATGACTGAGGGGGTGGGGCCGAGGGATTTGGAATATAGAGGGGGTTGTGGGTTGAGGTAGGGGGTTGGGGTGCAGGAGGGAGTACGGGCTCTGGGCTGGGGGTACGGGCTCTGGAGTGGGGCTGGAGATGAGGGGTTTGGGGTACAGAAGGGGGCTCCAGGTCTGGCGGGGGCTCAGGGCTGGGGCAGTGGGTTGGTGCTTAGGGTTGGGGTGCGGGCTTACCTCGGGCGGTTCCAGGCAGTACTGGGTTTAACATGGCGCCAATAGCCCAGAGTCAGAAGAGGCCCTGGCTGGCTGAGTTGGTCAGGAAACAGGGCCAGCTCCAGGCACCAGCCGAGCAAGCTGGTGCTTGGGGCGGCAGCTTGTAGGAGGCGGCATTCCGCCCAATCCTAGGGCAGCATGGCCGCTTTTGTTATTGTTGTTGTTGTTCCGCTCTGGCCGCCCTGTAGGGGGCAGCGGCGTGGAGGACGGGAGCGCCTTGCAGCAAGCCCAGCAGGGCAGCCAGCGTCCTTCCCTCCCAGCCGACCAGAGTGGTGCGGAGCCCTCCCAGCAGGGGGCACGGCGGGAGGGGCCGCGTGGCAGCGCCCCGCTGAAGCCCTGGCAGCGCCCCTTCTCTCTCTCCCCCCGCTCCCTCCCCCTCCCCCTGCTAGCCGGAGCACATCTGCAGCGCAGGGAGTCCCCCTGCACCCTGGCTCCGGCTGCGCCACAGGTTTGTTTTTTGTTTTTGTTTTTGCTTGGGGTGGCCAGAAAGCCAGAGCTGGCCCTACCAGGAAAGTTGCCTGCACCCCACTCCACCCCCTCCCCGCCTCTCCCCACCCCAGCCCTGCCTCCATTCCATCCCTTCCCCCCCAACCCTCTTCCCTGAGCTAAGCATCCTGGGGACCGCCAGCTCATGCTGTGGGGTGGTTTCCCTCCTGCCCCCCAAGCCTGGGGAGGAGATGGAGCGTTGGGGAAGGGGCATGGGATAGGGAAGAGAAGGGGATAGGGGAAGCAGGGGTAGAGGGAAAGCGGGGGCAGGGGGAAAGAGGCAGTGGGGACGAAGGGGATGGGGTGGGGAGGAGATGGGGCAGTGGGGAAGGGCATGGGATGGGGAAGAGAAGGAGATGAGGGAAGCGGGGGCAGGGGAGAAGGAA